TGGATTTCATTAAATTTAAACATTGTTAATGTTATGTATGAAAAATTAAGAGTTTTTAGCAAAAACAATGTGTTTATAATATCCCAATGAATAGAAAAACAAAGTTTTTTTTTAAATTCTCTGATGTTTTGTGACTAAGTGTAAATCACTTCTTCAGAGAATAAATAGACAAACTAGATCGAATTGGAATTTACTTGGTATTGTTTGGTTTGTATCTTCCCGTTGAGGTTTAAGACTGAAATTGATCAGTCTGTTATTGGCATATGTGCATACTGTGCGTATACCTCGATATTGCCATAATTCACAAGCTTTTTGTAAGCAATGATGGATAGTGGCCATCAGTAGAATTCCGGACGCGCGTTTCGTCCTGTTCGGGACTCGTCAGCTGGATGTACCTGCATCTCAGAGTTGATGTTCACTCTGGGACTCGAACCCAGCGCCATTCGCTTCAAACGACATCGCGTTATCCACTTAGCTACTGAGTCCTGATAGCCACTTGCTTGTGCAATGGTGTGAATTTAAATTCACTTGGTATTGTTTGGTTTGTATCTCCCCATTGAGGTTTAAGACTGCAATTGATCAGTCTGTCATTGGCATATGTGTATACTGTGCGTATGCCTCGATACTGCTTTAATTCACAAGCTTTTTGTAAGCAAATTAAATTAAATTGGGTCAATTTATTTGAAATTACTAAGTCGAACTTTGTTAATAACACCTATTAAAACAGTTTTGTATTTGTTCCTAAAACCAACACGTTTAAGTCAATTTACTGGTACTGGGAGGTGGGGAACCGTTAAAATAATAGCATGCCAACTTATATGCGATCAAGGCGCTCATGCTTCATAGCGAACATGATAACCTCATAGTATTGAAAGCGAAAGCAATTTTGGTCAAGTATTTTGAAGCATTTGAAATCCATAGATTAAATGAATCTCTTGAAATCCTTTGACATATTTTCAGTGGTGGATGGATTAGAGGTAGTTTGAAAGTAAGCTAGATGCCACTATATCAAAATCTGAAATCTATCACTGAAGTCATTGACTACTGGTTCGGATCATATGGGAAAATATGGACTTCTTAGTTGAAGCCATTGTGACTTCGTAGTATACAGTAGGAGAACCTATAAGCAAATATATTATGTGTATAAAAATGAATCATGATGAAGTCTGGCATGTTATGAGCTGTTAATCCAGTTTGTAAAACATTTCTTAAATATCATTTAGAGAGATAAAGACAAAGAAGTCCTACAGAATGAAAATAATAACACTAATATTTTAAGTGAAATGAAAGATAGGGGAGAATATAGGTAAGATAATGTAGTCTAAAGCACAAGGTTAAATATTACTCAATATTGTCGGTACACGGTAGTGTATAGTTGATATTGTAAATGTTAAAGCAATGGATTCTAAGACAATATCACTTAGTCTCTCATCATCTATTTCATTTGCTTTACTTACACCGTTGGCAGACGGAGAATAAATATGCTTTCTAATTAAAGTATCCTAAGAAAAATAGCTACTAAATGATGGTAAATCCCATATTTGTAACCAGAGATCTAACATTTAATGCTCCTTGATGTTCAATGGTTCGCTAGATGATTTCAGTTTGTCATGAGAAACTACCTTCAAAATGTGTATCCACCAGAGTATGGCAGTAGTAATCTCTTTAATGTTTCATTTAAATACTTATGTGAAATATTTATTATATGTAGACCGCATTAGTATGCGTTGTTCTCTTAATTATTACATTCATACTCCATTTACCATTCAGTCACTTGTAGAACAAATGAAGTGATGCGTTATCCAGGCATAAAATGCTTCAATCTTGTTCCTTTTTCTCTGTAGCTATCGATTACCTGGGTAGATGTTTGTCTAAACATCAAATCATGTGACATAAGTTTTATCCAATGAATTTGAACAATTCGGATTGTAGAACTGATTGTAACTATCGTGACTATAAGATGTGATTACATGCACTTTCCTCAGCGTATTTGGTGCTGTATATCTCCATTTTAATTCTAGGTTATTTCACATGATAATAAATTTTAGGTTATTTATAAAAGCGCGTGAGTAAATAGTTCGGCTAGCACATATGATTCGTTAAAAGGGATCGGAAAATTGTCTACAGTATTATGAAAATTGTAAAGTAAATAGTATAAAAAAATCAAACAGCCAGCCAAAATTGACCGAGTTAATTGTTATAATATCGAAGTGATAGTCAGGTACTTGTCTTTATACATGATGATTGATCTCTTGTAGTCTATAAAAGAGAGCAGAACCCTATATATTTTAATTCCTTAAAGAAAGAGTTGTTTTTAATTTCATCAAATTAGATTATATTGGTACTTATTGTATTAGTTTCCTGCAACCACAATATTTCTGATTACGTTGGAATCCCATGATTTGTCATTTATTAAGTCGTTTGCCAAATAAAGATTGTATTTATAAAGGAAAACGTTTCTGAATCTTCTATATTTCACACTTTTGGCTTGTTGAACTGATGAAAATAATCTTGATGAATAGATGATGTTCAATAACAACACTATGTAATTGACTAGTAACTGCTCGCAAGATCTTAGCATTGTTTGATTTAGTCGTATACCTGTTAGTATCCACAACATCCGTCTCATACACACGTTTCCTGAACTGTCGGCCAGTTACAGATACAAATGATAAGAGTGAAAAGTGACTACGAAACTTTTATTGACAAACTAAATAATTAGATACAAAAATCATTGCTGTTTATTTACATTTGTCTTTCCAACCTATGGAATTTCGACATTACATTCTCTTTAGTCTATCAACAACGGTAACTGAAGGAAGTGTTTTCTTTTAGATTAATTATTATTTATATACTTTCGTGTGTGTTTATTTAACACTTCTTCCCCCCTCCCTCACGTGTACGAATTTTTGTTTTTCAAAACATAAACAAAGTCCTTAATAGGCTCATTTACCAATGAAAAGAATATTAAATATTTACGTCCGATGTTCAGTTGTTATCTCATATTTGTTTACATCCGTATGATATAAATATATCCACTCTCTACTTAAGCCCAGTTGAATTTGTTTACCGATTATTTTGTTTGTTTTTTTCGAAAGAACGTCAATTATTTGTTCCGTTATCATCGTTTTTTTTATATATTTTAACCATAACCTATTTATCCAATTTCCCCCCTATGTATAAGTTGATCAGAGTTTGTTTTTGGTCTCCCGAAAAATGAGGACAAAATGGATCCTGTTTAAACTGTTTCATTGCATTGGAATAGTTAGAGTGTGACAGACATCATTTTAACACTGTTGACATTTTTGTTAAAATTGCATTACTATTCTAAAATAATGGTTCAGTTCATTTAATGAAATTTATCAAAGTAACTCAATTGATCTAACTGTTAATACACTAACAACATTTAACTGAATAGATAGATTCTCGAAATATATAAGTCTTGTTAGTTTACTGATTAAATATGTACATATATGTATTGGTGAATTAAAGCTATTATTTATATTTGGACAGTATTCAATCAAGATAGTATGAGTTACTTGTTGGTTCAATAAACAATTACTATTTTAAGGTCACAAAGTAATCAATAATGTTTCGATTGACGACTATTATACCAGTTAATTAAGGTCACAAAACTAATGTTCATCGGAATTGGATTCTGTATTATAAATACAAACGTACATCAAGAGGATAATTTATAACCCTTAGAGTATGAGTTTCATGGAATAGTTTCATCTTATGTTAAAAGATTATCATAGTCGACAAATATTATCCATTAACATGTTCCAATGAGATAACTCCAAATTCCTTTTTAATATAGAGATTAGTAAGAAAATCTTGTACTGTACCATGAACAGAAATTCAGGATTTTAAACATTGATATACCTTGATAAGTATATCTTACAGCTTACACTAGCTTACAATAGTTCTTTTCTCTAAAGCTGACCAACCTAGCTTCAGTTGTTACATATGTTTGTCTAATTATCCATCCTCTGAAAACAAGAAGACTAGGTCTTGTGTGATCTTGGATAGATGATACAAGTACATTTGTCGTTGTAATAAATATAACATCACTACCACAATCAATAAGTAGAAACATGATTTTATGAGTCTGTCTTTATTCAAACTAGCGTAAACCGGGAAATATATGACAGGTAAGTAGGAATTCACATTTGATTGCAACAAATTTTACATACAAGATCTAAACGAGCTATAGAAAATTAATTGAAGGAAAAGGGGAAATGAACCATCGAACTGTTGACAGGTTTCATGCAAAGAAATAGCAGCTATTGAGCTGTCTCTGTTTGGATGTTTTATTCACTTTGAATGATTTATTTTATACCAAAGTTTATGTCGCAGATTAATCTTAATTAGGTAGCTATCAAGAATTAGGTAGTTCTGGACATTTGTTTCTTCCCAATCTAGGACTCCTCAGAAGTTTACATCCGCAATCCCTCCGGAACTCGAACCCAGGATTGTCAGTATCATAGTAAGGATTTAATCTTTAGACTACTGTGTCAGTTTCCCGTGGTTTACATTCGTTTTTATGTGTTTCAGGATATCTATACATGTAAGTAAAGGTTGTCCAAAAAAGTCAAATTAATCTTTTGCTGATCAAAAACTTTGAAAAATGACCATTTAAATCTAAAAACCAATACATTGGTCAATTTTCCCAACCTAATCGATCAGTCATGTAAAATGTCACTAATAACAGCATATTTTTCAGAAGCCTCCACAAAAATTCAATTTCGCTGTTAATCACATCAATAATCTCCGACGTTTTTTTTTTAGATCAGTTAGCCTTAAATTTCAATCTGTCTACCTTTTGACTTGATTCATTGTTCATAAGTCGTATGTTTACGCTCAGGCCTACATAGTGATGTTTAATATGACAACATTTCTGTCCTTTTTTATCAGATTTAACAATACACTTGACTTTTCCATTTTATTTGTGTAATATTTTCAAATTGAATGGTTTCTATTCAATTAACTTAATTTAGAGACAATGAAAAGGCTAATTTATATTGGAAACGATATTTATCTATGGACAATAGCGAAATCGTAGGTAAGTTGTGAATTAGTACTTTTTCTCAATTCGATACATTTAAAAATGAAGAACAATATTTTTCGAGTGTAGCTGGTTTATATGCTCAATTTTAAACTAATTTATTATGAGGCTTAGCGATACCCAAGAAAAGTTTTCAGTATAGTGTTATTGAATCGGATGAAAGATTTTGCGATCGGCCAACTTCGAGATCAACAGGTTACATCCCGTAACGATCGATTGTGTACTGGAATTCGTCACTAAACTTCAACCTCCTCGATTATGAGAAGGCATTTAGGAGCGCGGATAGGAGAACCTCATGGAACGTTCTTTGACACTATGGAGTGAGTAGCTGAGAATATCGTCAGCATCATCCGGAATTTATACGACAGATTACACTGCGAAACTGTGCATGGAAGTCAGATACATTTCAAGTGAACATCGGTGTCAGACAAAACTGCTTACTCTCCCCCTTTCTTTTTCTTCTAGCGGTTAAATGGATTATGAAGACCTCCGCATCTGGGGGAAAGTACGGAATGCAATGGACAGTTTGGATGCAATTAAAAGATTTGGACTTCACAGATGACTTAGCTCTTCTATCCCATACACATCAAAAAATGCAGGTCAAGACAACCGGTGTAACAACAGCCTCTGTATTAGTTGGTCTCAACATGTACAAGGGAAAACCAACATCGTCAAATAAAACATGGAGAATACCAACCCAATCACACTTGATGGAGAATTCCAGGTACCTAGGAATCGTCATCGATGAACAAGGAGGATCCGATGCAGACTTAAAGGCAAGGATTGCAAAATCAAGGGCAGAATTCCTATAATGGAAGAACATATGGAACTCAAAACAACTTTCGACCAATATCAAAGTCATAATTTCCAATACGAACGTCAATACAGTTCTACTGTATGGAGCCGAAACTTGGTGAACTGTTGCAACCATCATCAAAATAGTACAAGCATTCATAAACAACTGTCTACGCAAGATACTCAACATCCATTGGCCGGATACCATCAGCAATAGCCTTCTGTGGGAGAGAACAAACCAACTTCCAGCTGAAGAGGAAATTAAGAAATGACGCTGGAAATGGATAGGACATACATTACGGGAATCGCCAAACGGCATCACGAAGCAATCCCTAACTTAAAATCCTGACGGGAAACGGAAAAGGAGGAGGGTAAGAAAGTTGACGATACTATCTGGTTGTCCGAACCGCAGTACTTAGATGAATTAGGGTTAGAACATATGACTGATAGTAATGACGATAACAATGATAATAAAATTCTGGATAGCTTTATACACTAGACTGCCGCGCTGCATATAAATTCGATACATCTCACTGAACTATTTGAAACAAGCGTTTAAATATTACCATTCGAAAATGTCACGTTATCGTTGCTGACACCAATTGATATATTGTCAAAAGTAGTGCTAATATGAGAATTATTGCTCTAGATGATAGAGTATTATGTCATACTGTCGATTCTACTAAATGTAAATATCTTTGATATAATTCTTTCCATTGATTCGTTACACAGTAGAAAATTACACTTAAGGTAGTGACAATTTTAAGGTGTCACTCAAATTTATAAAAATACTCAGTTACTCATTGTTATATGATTGTGATACATTTATGAACTGAATGATGTTAAATAGTTGAAACACGACGATACGATTAATTAATTTGAAGTAATCTTGCACGATCCCTGGATATTCCATTTGACCATACATTGGGGCGCGTGTTGTCGATGCACACTGCTTAGAAGTTTGAAAACGAGGACAGAAGAACTGTACAGTATGTGCATCGTAACTTACAGTGATTTTCAAGTTTGTGCCATTTTGTAATAAAAATATGACCTACGAAATTGGTATTTTATTATGTCTCAGTGTGACTCTGAAGAATGCTTAAGTTGTTACTGAATGTTGCATTAACGTTTCTCGTCAATTTGACACGTTTAAAACAAAAATGAAAGAAAACGTTTTGAAATGGAGTTCATTGCTAACATTCTCAATTTAAACTCAGTTATTAATGGATGACAGGAGTTACCTTTCTTTTGTAATAATGATACTAATAATAGTTCTTTTGCAGGTTTATTTACTCGTATTCAAGTCATATTGTTTGATGTGTAAGGCATGCCATAACTCAAATATCTAAAGTGAATTCTTTGCCATATAAAATTCATTTGTATCAAACCAATATGTTAGTTATTTTTTCTTCAAAATCCACGTTATAAACGTTAAAAACAGTCTCATACTTTCTCTTTTGAAGTTCATCTTCAATTTATGTTATAACTTGTGGCCTGTGCGCCCTGCTAATGTAGAACGTAACGATACCGCCAATTAGAAAGCAGTGAATTATCGATCGGACCAATGACACATAAAACCCGTGTGAGCAGTCTAGAGTCCTGATTGATCCTACTTTCCGCCTAGTCCAGCCAGTTAAGTTCAGTACACAAATCTCAGCCTCTGCGATATGAATCAATTATTTCAAGCATACTGGGTTTATATACCAACCAAACAGACTACATCGTACCAATAAAATGGAAAATAACATTTGTACAAGATTTAGCCAAATGTGGCTGTGAATGTGTGAGGTGGTAATTAATAGACAGGGCATAATTCAAGAATGGTAAATCATACAATAATAGTTCATAGGTCAAAATAAAGCTCATAATAAGAGGGACATGAATATGTATAGTGTAGTTACTTAACAATTATACCATAAAAATACACTCATGGTACTGGTCCATAAATGGATCCCCAAAGTTACCATTCATTATGCTTATCGGGGTATAACAATGTAATAGTCGTTTCTTGAAAATATTTTTCATGGAAATTTTCTATTTTTATTATGAATAAGGAAATCAATGAAATTCGTTGATTTTCATAACATTTTCTCTTGATAGATCTATTTGTTGGACAATTAATGAGTACGCTTGAATGTGGTGAATGTTCATTCAAATCAACTACATTTGATCCATTTTGGGATTTAAGTTTACCAATACCGAAAGTAAGTTGTTCATTGTTTTGTACTAAAATTTAGAAGAAAATTCAATACATTTTTTTGGAATTTTATTCTTAGTTTTAAAATACAAAAAAAGAACGTGTCTGCAGTTTTGCAACATTGCGATTTCTTGATGCCCATATAGAGTCGAACCCCATAACACGTATAGGTCTCACTTGGCATCTATTCATAGATTGAGACAAAATATATTAAAGTATGCAAACATTTTACTGTGTTTAGTGTCATAATTTTCTAATGTTCAATAGACGCAACCTTATGAAATAAGACGGAAAGGTTGTAGCTTAGGTACTTACTGGTTAGCGTTTTTTTAGCAAGGTTGTTTTCTGCAGGATGGGTTTGTTCATCCTCCTCCTTTATCCGGATTTGGGACCAGCAGTAACCCTAGAAGAGCTACTGATGGGGTTTGTGGCTAAGGTGGATGTATTGAATAGTTCCCAATTCTCTGAACTGTTTGGTTAACTTAGTCTTGTTATTAGAGTCTACATCATCACTGTCATCGCTGATGACAAATTGAATTAAATGTTTTTCAAAGTGCTAATAGCCGTTTGCGATTGTTGAACTGAGTCGTGCTAGAAGGTGCAAGCCACCTTGTTGCGGTCAGGGCATAATCAATGATCGGCGTCGGGTGATATGGCACAAAATCTGTTGCACTAGTCCTGGTTTATTCACTATTTCTTTCTCCTAGAATTTAAATTTAAAAATAGTTTTGCACATTTTATTCCGTGAATTTATTCTTCATTCTAGAATCATATTGTTTATACTTAGTGATTTTGCTATCACTGATAGTAATTTTGCATTTGTTTTGATAACTTCATTCGAGTGTGTTGATATGCTGTGGCAACTTGAATTGGTGAACATGTATGTGAGATTGTATTTTGTTATCATCTAATTAGAAAGGTTCTAATTGTGTCATGTAGCACTTGTAACACGTTATTTGACCTTCGATTTTACCTGTATAATCATGTCAGTTAAAAGTCTAAATGGAACAAAGATGACTGTTACTATCCATCTGGCATTTTAGTACTCTGATGAAAGGGTTGGAAATGAGATTTGTGTCATATTACCCAAACGTTTCCAACTGTCGTAGATTCAAGTGATAGGAGGTAACTTCATTAATAACAACATGTAAATGTTCGGATCAACAACATTTAATTCCTTATACTTTAGATTTTGATTAATACTGTGACAGAGTTTGGATAATTCATTCGAATGAATTGTTCTGTTGTTCAACTGATCATCATAAATCACTTGACCGTTTCTCCATTATTATTTAATACTGTTTGAAATCTATATGCAGAAATATATTTTTTAAATAATTTTTCTTAGTCATACTAAGTATACAGTATTCTGATATTCCTATGGCTCAACTGATTGGATTCGACACCGTGCTTGTTTATGATATTACTTGCTTACTTACGCCTGTTACCTCTCGTAGAGGAGCATAGACCGCTCACCAGCACTCTCCATCCAACTCTGTCCTGGCCAGTCATTTCCATTTCTTTCCAGTTATTATTCATCCTTTTCATGTCTGCTTCCGATTCCTGACTTAGTGTGTTCTTCGGCCTTCCTCTTTCCCGTTTCCCTTCAGGATTCCAAGTTAGGACTTGCCTCGTGATGCAGTTTTATGATTTGCATAATGTATTTCCTATCCACTTCCATCGTAGTTTTATAATTTCCTCTTCATCTAGAAGTTGGTTAGTCCTCTCTCACAGAAGGCTGTTACTGATGGTATCCGACCAATGGCTATTGAGTATCTTGCGTAGACAATTTACAATGTTGAGTGCAATCTATTCTTTTTTTTTATCATGAAGTCAGTAATCAAATACTTACCATTATGACTCAGACTACTGATTATTACTAGTTACTAGAAATGTTACTCAATTTCGATTCGACTCTACTTAGAGTTCTGTTACAATTTAACTCTATCACGTACAAAAAAAAGGAATTTGTTCGATAGATGGATCAACAAGCATATCATGTGCTCCATTTATATACGTGTTTATTGTCTATTTGATAGTAACGTGATGTTTACACGTTTATGTATATCGTCAATATCAAAATAAACCATATATATACATGTAATTGTTTCAAAGAAGATTTTTCTTAATGCCCAATCAAAAGTGCAAATTTATTTATACCTTTTTTCTTTATAATCTTGTTTATGTATATCTCATACTTGTTAAAATTCCAATGTACGTCTTGATGTCAGTTGAACAAATTGATTTGTAAAAACCAAAACTTTAAACAGAATTGATCAAATAATAAACAGAGATAAATTTGAGACTGTAGTGGTGGAATCTAGTAAACTCTGTTCGTTTTATATGTGGGACTCGTTAGATGATGGGTGTTCCTGCATTTCAGAGTTGATGCTCACTCTATCAATCGAACCCAGATCGTATCAATATCAATATCAGGATGGTAATATTGTTTTGTATTCGATAAATAGTTCAGTTATCACCTTCTTGAATATTGATAATTGAGCAATCATTTTACACTCTTTATAGGGATAAGAGGTGAGGTTATTGAGGTTGTTCATTTTAAAGTAAGTTTTCATCACTAACTGACTTACACTGCATAGCTGTCGAGAAATAACACAGAACATTGAATTACTGTTACAGTCTACTCCGTGACTTTTCACTGTTGTGAACCAGTTAACCCAAACATACATACACGAATAAATTCAGCACTTTTGGGTTTCGTTTTGGTCACAGCACGTTCTAGGTCAGAATCCACATTTTCAACTTCAGTCAATTTGTTGTGTTACTGGGCAAAATCGGATCACGATTGTCTTCCATCAATCAACAGCAACAATATTGCAATATTGATTTATCCCGTTTCATTGAGTGAATTACAACGTGATTTATCACAACGCAATCAGCATTAAGGTCTTAATAATACAACATGGATTTCTCCTATTTACTCAATCAGTGATATTTCAGCGATCCGATCAATTTATTAATATTGTTTTTAAGTTGAGCAACCGATAGACAGCATGAATTCCATCATTTAATTTAAAGAGAAAAGGCATTACAGAATGAAATCAAAAGAGCGAATCTAGTTTGTTCTGATTCAGATTCGAATTGTTAGTAATTGACGGCCCTAAGGTTAGCTTGACTACTAGTCACATCCATAATACCTATCGTAGAACCTCACACATATGTCCATCAATTCAGGTTGTCACAGCATATCAACACACTCGAATGAAGTTATCAAAACAAATGCAAAATTACTATCAGTGATAGCAAAATCACTAAGTATAAACAATATGATTCTAGAATGAAGAATAAACTCACGGAATGAGATGTGCAAAACTATTTTAAAATTTAAATTCTAGGAGAAAGAAATAGTGAATGAACCAGGATTAGTGCAACAGATTTTGAGTCTAGTCATTCAACTTCTCCGAACACTAGTTATGATAATTGTGAGGACCTCAACCATGTAGGCTGTACTTATCTACACGGCTCATTCCAACAGTCAAGGATTACATGAACTGATTCCATCATTTTCTGGTTCGACTATCCTTACCATCCCTTTACATCACTCTTACATCAGCAAACATCATGGGTGAAGGTTGGTAGAGTTTTTTGGAGACCATTAGAAGTTCAATAAATCCAAGGAATAAGATCGATCATTTAAGAGACCATTGAGAATTAGGAAGTAAGGAACATCAATTTCTATTTAGTGTGGAATTCTTGGATAGTGTTTGACATGTCCTATAGCCTGCAAATTATCATGTGACAAAATCGCGAATCAAAACACTGACTTATACGACCTTGACCCTATGCCAAACCAATGACGCGTTAACAGGTACGGACAGTCTAGAATAGTCGGCTTCGAGTCCTTTTTGGTTCTTTTTGCCTTGCCCTGCCCTGCCCTGCTCACTGAGTCAAGAACACAGTTTCAACTTCCACTTTATGAACCATGTATTTTAGTCATACACAGTTTATATACAAGCAAACCAGAACTCATCACACCATAAAATAGAAAATAACAATTATACAAGACCAAAAAAGGTGGCTGTGAGTGTGAGACTAAATAATAGATTGGGAATAATGTAAGAACAGTAAATCGTATAGTAATAGTCAATAGGTCAAATGAAAACTTATGATAAACGGAATATGGTTATACATATAATATAGTTGCTTAACAGTTACACAATAAGAATATATATATAGTCCATAAATTATTCCTAGCAGTTACCATTCATCTATTCCTTGTTGGGATATAACATTGGTCTTGAGTGCTGTTAGAGGTATGAGGGCGGTTATCACTTCCCGGTTGCCCACACCGTGGAAGACTTCTTCTAGAGGTACCTGAAAAGGAAATTGGATAAAAAGTGGTCTTAGTGACCTGAGAGCGTGACCGCAGTGCCCAAGGGACAACTGCTTGAGGTCGCTCACATACGACTTTTTGTGCGTAATTCTCGTGTTAGCTCCGTACTTGTTGAGACCTTATCGCCGGAGACGGATATCCGTGGGATAAGGTGAGGTGTGCATTTTTATGGTCGACCTTTTCTAACCCAACCCCTCCTTGTGGAAAGGAAACATCTCTGTTGTGCTGATTGTCTAAGGGAAACACCTTACTGCCGTCACACCTCTGTACAATCAGCAGTACGACTTCGCTCTCGGACTTTGTGTTTGCTGCTTCTAGTCCTACCGTTGTTCAGCCGACCTATCTGGCATGGTGGGACCTTGGGGAACGATTGATGTAGCCAGTATAGCTCGATTGGTTCATGACGATAGGCAAGCCCGACCACCACGTCAAAGTAACAACAACGGTCGGTGTACATATGTGCCTGGTTCTACGTTGTAGCTGACTGACTCCGATATAACAGTGTTCATTCACGATGTCTATATGAGTTGACCCATTGTATTCAAATCTCACATTGAGCATATTAACAAAAAACATTGTGCATAAATAATCTGTTATTAGAATTTATCCGTATGCTAGTAATATTAGATTATGTTTGTAAATATTTGATGATGTAACTTGTTAAATACCATGTCATCAATAAGATATTAACAAATTACACATAAATAAAACCATCATTATTAGATAAGGGATTTGCAGAAATTGTAATAATTTTTAATAGTTGGATTTATGAGTCGATTTTAGCTAGACCACCATTGAAAACCTGAAAGCAAGATCATTGATGCTTATTTCTGAGGAGTCCCATACTAAAACGAAACAGCCGTCCAATGATTGCAGGTTTTCAATGATGGTCTGGCTTAAATCGACTCATGAATTCAACTATTAAAAACCATCACTACCAATTTTCTCTTACTTCAATTCTATTTTAACTCTCTTCTCTTTCTTCTCTCAAATAGTAGTTGCTAAGTTTAATTTAGTTTTTTTCTGTCTTACTATTATTGATTTAATTTTTCTTTTTTCATTTTCGAGTAAATTATCTTCATTTACATTCAGCTTTACACCCTACTGTTTATCGATTTCTAAGGATAACTTATTTACACTTATGATGGATATTCCGATAGAGAATAAGCAAGAGAATGATTCTTTTCTATATTATGTGATAATCTAATTGAGAAAAAAATCTATTTTTTCTCATGTTAACTAGATACCCTACTGTTTTGTAGTAGTACTACTATTAATATTTCGAAACGTTGACTCATAGAATGTAAAAAAAAATTATCGTTTAGAATGGTAAAGAGATAACAGGGAATGATAGTTCTCTTCATGGATGATAAACAAAGATTTATTTGGAAGTTTATCTGGAATAGATGTATTCTAAGTAGTGATGACAATCCAAGTACACATAAATTCTTTAAAGCTCTACAGTTCTAGATATAAAGTTCTTCATTCCTTTGATAGTTCATTGTCCAGTTAGTTAGTAATCCTAAATTGAATCGTAGGTTACGTCTTCGGTATAGTAAACATTGTTTGTTAAATGTGTTGTGCATACTAAACTATTCCCTACCTCAAAGAAAGAAAACTTGAGTTTATCAAACTCCAGCATGTTATTAGTCTATAAAATCGTATAGGGATGTGTAGATGTTTGGGTTGGTGTATTATCTGAAAATCTGTATCACTGACACAGATCTATTCTTCCTCATCCCATAAATTAGGAGTTCAGTATAGTGGCAAATATTGTGTTTTTCTATTGCTATTAATTTTCAACCGTATTTCGCATGTCTAAGGATTCAGTGATCAATGTATTTTACTACTCACGTTTCTCATTAGTATAGGGGTTTATGGATATTGTTGGACGTTATTGACATTACTAACCATCCCGAGTTAAAGATCCATTGGAAATCAGGAAACAGTGGAGAAGTGCTTTGTCTTAGTACAAGTTTCTCATCGGTGCACATCCACAACCCAAGACGAGACCGAATCCAAGACTTTTGTTGCCATGTCAGACGCTTGACCTCTAACCCACTGAGCCAACATCTAACGATATAGTAACTTCGAGAAGGTAATTCTGGAATTTTAGTGATAAGTAGTGACCGGCGGAGCTGATTACCCACTAAAAAAAAGAAAAAACGTTGATCAACATTGCTAACTCTCTGAGGTTAAAAATGTGCACGATCGGATGCCGGCTCAATGATTCGCAGGTTAAGCGTTCATTCACGAGAGCGAAGGCCTTAGGTTCGATCGCTAGAGGTGGGGTCGTGGATGTGTATTGCTGGAGTTCCTCACTAATACGAAACAACTGTTTAGTGCTTCCTGGATTTCAGTAATGTTTAACGTCGGTCTGCTCATGGGCATAAATTACGTTTCTATAAATTTCATTTAAGTTTCGATTCCATACTTAACATTGCGCAACATAATCACTGATAATAGATCACAACGAAATCACTGTACCTTTATTGAATTTGAAATCGATTAGGTTATCCATATTTTCACTTTATTTTCAAGCAAAAAAAAAACACAACAACAACTCGTTTCTATCCTAAAGTACATGTTTATTTCTTATAGTAATTATCTATCCCTTTTTTTATGTTTCCAACTATCATACTATCAAATATCAACTTTATAATCAATCATTTCATTGCCATTCAATATTCATTGAAATTTATACACTGAATATCAGTAATTGTTTTCAATAATATCTAGTGTATTCATGAAGTTATTGAAATTCTTTCTTACTTATTAGTAGTCTTCTGTTTAATTTGTTTCATCTTATACTATTCTCTTCATTTATAATTTATACTATATATATATTATATATATATTTGTCTGTGTATTTATACTGTATGTATGCCGGGTTTTTAATTGTAACTCAATTACAATTTACTAGTCTGAACTTTGAATACAGCAATGAATTATAAGACAGTATTCATTATCAGGTGATTGCATATATATGCCTGTGTATTCAATGACACTATCAGTAATCAATAAATCAAACATAAGAAATTGTAAGTAAAAATGGATGGTGGCTAGTATTGGAATCCAGGACGCGCATTTTGTCCTAATTAGGATTTGTCGGCCGGACGTACCCGCATCCCAAAGTTGATGTTCACTCCGGGACTCGAACCCAGTACCATCCGCTTCAAACGCCATCGCGTTATTCACTTAGCTACTGAGTTTTAATGAGCCCCAAATAGGACGAAACGCGAGTCTTGGATTCCACTGCTAGCCATCATCTATCTTTGCTTATAATGCTTGTGACTTAAGGTAATATCGAGACAATCCGTACAGGATGCAGAAATGCCAATAAAAAAAACTGATTGATTGTAGTCCTAAAAATAGATGGTAAGATTCAAACAAACAGTACAAAATGAATAAGAAATTGTGCCTAATTATTCTTATAAATATAAATTTAGTCTATCTGTGACAAAATCTTGGTAGGGATATAAAAACCTGATATAAATTTTGCCTATATGCGTCACCAGAATCACAGGCGAGATTCCTTTCTTACCAGTGAATTAAAGGAGTATACTAGCCATTATTTTTTCTGTATTGATCTTTGACTATAAAACATGACCTGTGAATTCAGAACACATGCATAATCTTCAAGTCTTTGGTTATACATGACTTCTAAGGATTTTTCGCGCATCGTTTGGTCACCAAGTTAGTATTCCTGAGACCAGATACACGGTAGAAAGTAGAGATAGTAGGTTAAGTGATAATCCGCTAACTACGTTGCTAAGTTCCATATGCTGACGACAATCGGATGTTAGATACATTGGGTGAAACGCTCAGAGTCATCTCCGTTGGGTCCGACAATCTCAGTTTTTGTGTTCCACTAAGTTTTGACATGCCTTGTTATTTCGTAATTCGTAATTCTCGAATTAACTCTTTCTTCTTGAGCCATATTCTTGATTGATATCATTATTTTGACTAATTTGCTATGAAATATATACCTATCAAGTAGGTGAATATTCTCAAAGTCGCTATAACATCGCTCAAAGGTCGTCTATAAATGATAGTCTCACTCGTCACACCTTATTCTTACACTTGGAGACTAATTGAATTACAATTATACAAGTAACTTTATAGTCACGTGTTGGCTCGACGCACGTATAGTGCAGGATAGATATCAGTCTGCCTGTGTGTGGCGTAAATGCTTCATAGCAATTCACAATGTATTTACGGATGGTTTAGGTGGAATATAAAGATGAATTTGAAAGATATGATTCAGTCACTAACTTTCAATCACATATGTTGTCGAAATGAGTTAAACAAAGGATATTAATGCTGAAACCCAAAATATGTCACTAGTCGATCAACTCTATCAACTATGAAGTCGTGCCTATACCAAGATACACAAGCTTCCTTGATTGTATCCCTTATGATAATTATGATAAGTGAGTGAAGATCTAAAATAATGGAAATTGTAATCCGTCACTTTGTTGAAGATGAATTCATTCCTGATTTTCTTACAACTCTGTAGTTCGAATATTATTTTATAATTCCCATATTTCTTAATGTTATTTTTTTCTTGGCATCTTTTTTTCTACTGTAATCAACATTAAGGTTTTTCCTACACAATAGCTTTTATTCTTCCATAATAAATTCCTCTCATTATACATACATAAGATGCTGTAATTTAGTCATATCAGTGAATATTTATACTAGGTCCTACTTCTATAATAACTAGCTAAACGACTGACTGACTAAGTTTAAGCGGGAGCTTCTATGAGGTGTTGAAATTGTTTTTTTAGTTTTTAATATGATCTTCATTGTCTTTTTTTCGTTTGCACCATCTCATTAATTTACTAGAAATCAAACGTCAGCATATTGGATTGTTTAAATTTATTCACATCTAAAGAAGAACTAGATGGTAATGAAAGACCCGTAAGTTTCATATTATTATTAACATTTATTTATAATTGTAGACATGTTATTGTTATTTTTATCATTATTGGTGGTAACAGTAGTTGTGGTAATGTAGAGAACGAGGACTTGATGGGGAAAACCAATTTATTGTTTTGTGCAAAATTACAATGTCTTAGTTAAGTATGGAAACTATACATTAAATTCTTCATTTGCACATCCATCCATCATTTGTCCTTCACATGATTCATGCTTTCAATTCCGTTGTTATTACAATTACTTTCTGTATCCCTTTCTGTTTTCTTCAGTTTAACCTTATTTTGACAGGCATTCCACTTCTGATTGATGTACATACTACCTATATCTGTCGACGTAAGTAGTATACACAACAGTAGTAGTAATAGTTTTACTGTCAGTTTACTGATTAATGAAAGCCTGTACGATATTATTTTACTAACAATAACATTCTATTAAAAATACAACGGTCAATTCAACTAGTTTAAACATTTTATACAACGAGTTAATAGCACTTTTTGATTGCCTAAACGAAAGTAAGGGAAACCTGTAACTGGTTAATTCATAGTAAGATGTGTTTAGTTGTTTTGACCCGGATTCATACTTTGTTGTGAAAGTATATAGCATGTTCATAATTTGCATAATTAAAAAAGATCAGTTGAGCTGTACTGTTATTTTTTATCTTAATTGGTTATTTTATTTAACATTTTCGATGATAGATTATGGTTATTTTCTAGTTCTCAACCAAGAAATCTGAACCCATTGACGGACCTTAGGAAAACAGTCAGTGTTTTAGCGGGTTTATTCTGTGTTTTGGTCCATCAGTTCCTAGTTATTGTTCCCATTGTTCTGTGGATTATACGTCAAGATAATAGTTGATTAAGTATCCATAACACATATATTCCACCCACCTTAGTCAATAAAGATTCATAGCTTCATCAATCGAATTGTCATTTATATTAAGTACGTTGGATCTTACTTCAGGATTACTCACTTGTTCGTTCCACAATAAACAAGCAATGTTTTTATTTCAGAGATCTGACTAATAAATCCATGCACACATTAATCTTTCGTTCATTTTACAATGAATTAAATTCAAGTAATCAGAATGCAACTTTCTTGATCATTTTCATTACAGTTCAAAATCGTTTTCAATAGCGTATTTACATTCACTTTTTTCTCCTTAGATCCCAAGTTTTTTAAATGCTTTATAAATTTCCTTTATTTCACCAATTTATATTTTCTGGAATCTTATCGTTGTTACCTAATCTTTCCTATTTCCACTTATATTTCTACTACTGTGTTGAGTGCTACTGATATCGACAGATATAAGTAGTTTGTACCACCAATCGAAAGTGGAATGCCTGGAGGAAGAAGGTTAGGAGAATCGAATAGAAGTGAACGGTAACAGAGAGTGATTGGTATGGAAACGAAGGAACAACGAAATCTGAGACGATTGGTGGATATTTTGCAAATGATGTATTTACTGTATAGTTCTCAGATTTTACCAAGATATTTTGTAATGTTGTATACAAACACATCTGATGCGTTTGGTCAGAATAACAATGAAAGCTTCTCAATTGAACCGCTCAGCACATGGAATACCTATGCTATACTTTTATCCGTAAAATTTGATTTGTGCGGGAAGTTTTCAGTTTTTCAATAGTGTTCTAGCTTAGATCAACTACAATCTCCACAAATCTTCATACTCATAAAATTAATTCGCATATATATCTATCAAGTCATGGAAACGAAAAATATATGTAATATGATAATTTATTGAACATGTGATTATTATTTCCACTTCATGTCAAAATGTTCTTTTTTCAACATGGACATATTCAAACATTACGCATTAGCTTTAATAACGCTATTCATTTTCCAATAGGAAAAGACTACGTTCTATCGTTTCTGTCATAAAATATTGATAAATATCTATCTATTATATTTTACGAGTGTTGGTACAGTAAAGAATATGATTTCATTGGAATTATGAGACTACATAGTGTATGTGATGAAAAAGTTGGAAATTACATTGTGGATACCACATCAGTTGAATATATATATCGGACTTAGAAATGATCCGCATAAAACCTTGAGTTTTGGTTATCACTCATAAAAATGTTTGTCCAGTTATGAATGGAAATTGTCACTGTGGATTGGATTCGAATTCGTTTCATAATCACAGATATTATTACTACCGAGCTATTTGAACCAGCTTGATTCTTAAATTCAGTAAGGTTACTTTTCGGTTTATAGAAATGTGTATTTTGTTATCATGACGAATAAGTCGGATTTCTGACTGGTTCGTAGGAGTTGTTTGAATCTTCCCGTTGTTGATGTTGAGGACTAAAATTGATCAATCTTCTCTAGCATATGCGCATCTAGCATTACTACGTATTCATAAACATTTTAAGCTATCTGATAACGACTAGGAGTAGAAATTAGGGGGTTTGTTCCCTCATATTCGAAACTCATCAACTACACACGATTACACCTCAGTGTTGGTGTTTACCTTTATTGTGCAAGCTAGTGGATATATTAACTCATTAGCTAAATAGATAACGCGTCTGACGTTTGAAACGAAAGGTTGCCGGGTTCGAGTCCCACTGCGAGTGTCTACACAGCTCCAGATAAACCCAGCTGACAGGTTCCAAAATGGGATGAAACTCACATGGATTCTATTGCTAGCCACTTTCTAACTCTGTTTAAAAGGCAGCTGAATATTTTTACATTAATATTTTATTTTACCCCAATTCTATAAATAGACGGAAGAAATCAATTGCATTTTTCTGTTTTTCTTTTTTTATTTTTAAATGAACAGATTTGTAGTCGATGTAAAACTCGAAGAAGATGTACCAAAAGTTTTTCCATTCAGAAATTCCCACAAATTCTTGTACTTCGTATCCTTTTTACTGTTTTGCTGGATTTAGTCATTTTATTAAAAGGGAAAAAGTTATTAGTTATTTATATTTTGGAAGAATCTGTAATATATTAGCATATTTTCGACTACGTGATTCATTGCTGTCCTACAGGATGGGTATAATAGTTATTCTGCCTTATCTAAATATTTATTTATAGAATAAAGTACATTTATTAAGTTGTAGTATTTGTTTCAATGTCTTTCTAACTTTACTGTGGCTAACTATTTAGTAAGAAGAGTAATTGATATACATAATGCTAGTCTAAAATCATACTTCATCCTCCATGTTCTAATACTATTGTTCTGGTCACCAAACTTAAATGTTAACCGACGTCGTGCTTGTTTGGTCCTAAGTGCTGATTGAATCCTATCAATCAATTTCCAATATAATAATCACTAGTCTAAGTGACTGGACACCGCATGAACAGTGTTTCGATGTAACGTCGTTGAAGATATCTGGCAGAAAGCTATGAACCCATGTCTCTTGTTAGTTAAATCTTTTCGTCAAGGTGTGATTAAGAAGGAGGTCAGTGACATTCAGAATAATTTAATGGTAACGATGTACTTTCCATTAAACTTCAAGTGAACCTTAATGACAAATGCCAGTTAGTATGAAACCCATGTTCAGCGTTTCCTGTCAATTATCTTCAATCGAGGTACATTGAAACGTTGTGCCCTGTTGTCGAAAGACGAAATCTCGCTATTGATGTTCGTTTGATAAGCAGTTTATTTCTCTTTATTCTTATGTAAATATCTAATGTTTGAAAATGGAGTATTAGAAATGTCATAAAAATGCCTTTATCTACATGTAGAGGCTTACCCGACCGTTGTTGCTACCTTGACGTGGTGGTCGGGCTTGCCTATCGTGATGAAGCAACCGAGCTATACTGGTTGGAACAACCGTTCCTCAAGGTCCTACCATGCCAGATAGGTCGGTTGAAGAGCGGTGAGACTAAAAGCAACAAACCCAAAGTCCAAAGGCGAAGTCGTACTGCTGACTGTACAGAGTTGTGACGGCAGTAAGGTGTTTCCTTCAGACAACCAGCATGACAGCGATGCTGCCTTCCCACAAGGAGGGGTCGGGTTAGAAAAGGTCGACCATAAAAATGCACACCTCACCTTATCCCACGGATATCCGTCTCCGTTGATAAGGTGTCAACAAGTACGGAGCTAACACAAAAATTACTCACAAAAAGTTGTGTGTGACCGACCTCAAGCAGTTGTCCCTTGGGCACTGCGGTCACGCTCTCAGGTCACTAAGACCCCCTTTTCAGGTACCTCTAGAAGAAGTCTTCCACGGTGTGGGCAACCGGGAAGTAATAACCGCCCTCATACCTCGAACAGCACTCAAGACCACTGTATTCCTAACCAACCTCAGTCTTCACTTCCTATTACTCCTCCTACATCGACTTTCACCTCTAAACTTCCTTTTTCGGCTTCCTCCTCAAATGTCACCATAGCCAACGATTCTAGTGCTCAAAACTTTGTCCCAGGTCTACTGAAACCTCGCTCCAAACTACACATTGGAGCCTTCAACGTACGCACCCTATGTCAAATCGGTCAACAGGCTTCCTTGATTAGAACCCTAGAATCTCGTACCATTGATGTATGCTGTGTCTCTGAAACACACATACAGGATTCCAGTGTGGTCATTCACTTGACCTCACCTCGGCAAAAAGGAGAGCCAATGAGACACACTCTCCGTGTATCTGGTGACGCGATGGCCAGTTCTCGTGGACTGGCAGGTGTAGGCATAGCACTAAGCATGAGGGCCGAACAAGCACTGTTAGAGTGGATCCCCGTCAACAGTCGTCTATGTGCTGTTCGGCTAAACGGCTCCGTAAGAACTCGGAAGGATAGGTACACACGTCGTTGCCTTTTCGTCGTTTCTGCCTACGCTCCCACTGACTGCAACTCAGATGAAGTGAAAGATGAATTTTACAGAAAGCTGTCCGAACTTCTTCAGAAAGCTAAACGCTCAGACATAGTACTCGTAGCAGGTGACTTTAATGCCCAGATAGGTAATTTAAACCAAACAGAAAGGCATTTAGGTGGGTATTTTAGCATTCCGGCACAGCGAACAGATAATGGTGACCGTCTGCTGCAACTGTGCTCAGACAATCGTTTATTTTTAGCAAACACAAATTTTAAGCATAAGGAGAGACACCGTCTAACATGGCGACCCCCTACACCAAACCAACGATGGACTCAAATGGACCATATTGACATCAGTCATCGTTGGAGAGGGTCGGTAGAAGATTGTCGCTCATTCTGGAGTACCTGCTTGGACTCCGACCACACCCTAATACGGGCACACATTCGCTTATGCCTCACTGGACGCAAACAAGCTACATTAAAAAGACCAATTAGAACTGAGTTGAGTAACGTGAAAACCAAAAGTAGGTTCCAGGAACAACTGAGGTTACACAGGTAGTTCTGAAACGAGGCTGACCCAGATGTTGCTTGGAAAGGCAAACAATCAGCTGTAGAAACAGCAGTGACATCTATTAGTGACTTAAACCACAGGGTTACAAAGAACCAATGGATTTCTTCAAAGTCTATCACACTGATGGATTCTCGTAAACTCGTCCCATCAGGTTCCGAACATGATAAAGAGCGACAACAAATCAGATCTAGGTTAAGAAAAAGTCTAAGAAACGACCGTGAGCAGTGGTGGGCAACGAAAGCAAAAGAGATGGAAAAGGCCACGGCTATAGGGAACACAAGACAGCTTTATAGACTAATAAAAGAAACTGGAACTAATAAGTCAAGTGTAAGTGAGATTATATCGGAAAAAGACGATACACTCATCTGCTCCCAGTCCAGGCGTTTAGAACGATGGGCGGAACATTTTAGAGAACAGTTCAACTGGCCTTCAGCTACTCTACAACTACCCTGCATTCCCAGACAATGTGAATGGAACATTGAAGTAGGTCCCCCAACTCTTGCTGAAGTTCAAAAGGCTATAGTTAATCTGAAACGAGGAAGGGCAGCTGGTCCAGATGGATTGGCTCCAGAGGTCTTTAAGGATGGTGGGCCAATTTTAGCGATTAGGTTGACTAATATTTTAGCTAAAATCTGGGAGTTAGACGTTATTCCATCTGACTGTTCGCTATCACTTATCGTCCCAATATATAAGAGAGGGTTAAAATCATCCTGTGACAACCACAGAGGGATTAGTTTAACTAATATAATATCTAAAATACTAGCTTCAATAATTATCAGACACCTAACTAAGACTCGTGAACTGCAAAAACGAGAGACTCAAGCTGGCTTTAGACCTGGTCGTGGCTGCATCGACCACATATTCATCGTTCGTCAGATTCTAGAACACAGGCATACTTATCGACGTCCGACAATGGTGGTCTTTCTCGACTTAAAAGCAGCATTTGACTCGGTAGACCGCGAGATTCTGTGGCAGTGTCTGTCATTGAAAGGCGTACCTCAGAAGTACATAAACCTTGTGAAGGCTCTTTACTCGAACACTACTAGTCGAGTCAGAGCTTATGGCGAACTGTCATCTACTTTTGCAACCTCAAGTGGTGTCCGTCAAGGCTGTCCACTTTCCCCATTTTTGTTTAACTTCATCATAGATCTACTGATGGAAATAACTTTCTCGTCGACTGAGTTCTCGGGTATTGATCTCCTACCAGGAGGTCCACTTATCGACTTAGAATACGCAGATGATATAGTCCTGTTTGGTGAAGACGCTGACAAAATGCAGAGTCTTCTGGTAGCACTGAGCAACAATGCCAGAATGTTTGGAATGCGCTTCTCTCCCTCTAAATGCAAGTTGTTGCTTCAGGACTGGTCTGCGTCAACACCTGAACTAAGGATAGGGAGTGAAGTAGTCGAACGCGTTGACAACTTCACTTATCTTGGAAGTCTGATCAGCCCTAATGGGTTGGTATCGGACGAAATCTCAGCACGGATTCGAAAATCTCGTTTGGCTCTTGCCAACTTACGTCACCTTTGGTGAAGGCGAGATATCCGTCTATCAATAAAAGGACGAGTATACTGCGCGGCAGTCCGTTCTGTTTTACTTTACGGCAGCGAAACATAGCCTTTAAGAGTAGAAGACACCCGTAAGCTACTAGTATTTGACCACAGATGCCTCAGAAATATTGCTGGGATCACCGGGTAAGTAATAGTGAGGTTAAACGCAGGGTATTAGGGAACGATGGTAAATCAGTTGATGAGGTTGTGAATCTTCATCGACTGAGATGGTTGGGTCACGTGTTACGTATGCCTGAACACCGATTACCACGACGCGCAATGCTAACTCGTGTTGGGGATGGTTGGAAGTTAGAGGCAACCAAACCAAAACGTGGCATCAGTGCTTGAAGTCACTAACTTCTAGTCTGAGCCATGTTGGTAGATGCAGACTACTTGGTTGGGGTCCGCGTGACTTTCGTAACCAATGGTTGGAGTGTGTGTGTGACATGTCCCAGAATCGATCACAATGGCGTCGGTGTATACACTCTGTCTTCCCTTAAACTAAGAGATTAAAATGACTTCATATCTTTCTTTTTACGAACTAATTCTTTCTTCGTATACTATATCCTTATATGCAATCTTTCTCCTATATATTACCATCTTTGACCTAACCACTGCTATGAATCCGGTGTTCCTCTTGCTGTGCTGATGAGGTATGGCAACCTGGACCGATGCATATATGTGCCTGGTCCTACGTTGTAGCTGACTGACTGTAGAGGCCTACAGAATTTCTCATACTTATCAAATATCAAAACATTAGTGCACGCAATATAGATTCATTAATACTAGTAGCTACATTTAAATTTGATCCGTGGAATTCAACTAAAACATGGCATCAGTGCTTGAAGTCACTAACTTCTGGTCCGAGCCATGTTGGTAGATGCAGACTACTTGGTTAGGGTTCGCTTGACTATTGTAACCAATGGTTGGAGACTGTGTGACATGTCTCAGAATCGATCACAATGGCATCGGTGTATGCACTCTTTGTCTTCCCCTGAACTATGAGATTAAAATCGCTTTATACCTTTGTTTCTACGAACTAATTCTCTCTCCCTGTATTATATGCTTATATACAGTCTTTCTTTTATTTATTACTACCATTGAAGTGACTACTTCGATGAATTTGGTATTCATCTTGTTGTGTTAATGAGATGTGGCAACTTGAACTGATGCATATATGTGTCTGATCCTACGTTGTCGCTGACTAACTGACAATAATCAAACAAAATTATCAAGTGATACTAACATTCTAACATACTAACAAGTTAATTTTTACAATACCATTTATTTACTTTTTTTAATTTTTTTGGTACACATCCAAACGTCTTTAGGTTTCTTATACATTTTGTACACTGAACCCCTACATAGAAAGTGAAAAATGATTATTATAACAGTTTGAATAAATATTATTATACATAATTAACGAATGAATATACCGAATTTCTACTATTTTCTGCCAAACTTAAAACAAACTTTACAGAAAGAAATGACGCCAGAATTTTTTTCTCTCTTTTTCTCCTTCTCCTCTTCCTCCTCCTCCTCATCATCATCATCATCATATTTTCTTCTTTGTTTTACAAGGAAATATGCATATACACATGGTACCATGTATATTTGTTTTGTTTTTTTCAAAGTACACATCTCATCCCCTTAAAAAGTGGTATTACGTTAGCTATTATAACATAATATGATATTGAAATTTTCAAGCGGCTTACTTAAATGATAAATTCAATACTTTCCATACTTTGGTATGGAAATCGTTAAAAAATAGTTGTATTAGTTAGAAAAAAAGTGATGTAATACAATGTGGAAAATAACATTCTAGGTATTATTAATTGTAATGTGTTGTAGTATTTCGTTGTTAATAGTTTACACTGAATAAGATTATTTACCATTGATACTATTTGAGCTATTTGTACTATGGTGTGCACTACTTACTGATAAGGACAAATATAAGTAGTATTTAATAGGAATTAGAATTGAAATGTTTATCAATAGAAGATTGAAATAAAGAAACGAGGACTCAAAACAGAAAGCAATCAATGTAACAATAGAATTGGAAGAACGATAGAGTATGTATAGGACAACTCAAAGAAAATAAGCAAATTATGTATTCAATGTATGATTTTTAATTTAAATATATATATATATATATAGGTGATGAACGACAGATAGAACGTAAGGCTAGTTCCGGATAATAAAGTACAGTAATGCATAAATAGTTCTTAATGATATTTTAAAATTGAATTCTGGTTTCCTTCTGTGAACTTTCATTATATTTGTCTAGAATATTTTACTTATTACCAATATCATCTTATTGATATGCTAAGGTTAAATTAACAGACAAATAGATTGGATATCAATATATAAATTTGCACAAACTTTGTCGGTCTATATGATGTAAATTAAAACAGAAGGAATTCTATTATATATATATTGAAGATAATTGGAGAATGCATGCCAATTTACAGGAATGATTAGATTGATACTGAAAATAATAAGGATAAAGATATAAGATTAAATTTCAATAGTTGAAATCATGAGTCAATTGAAGCTAGAGCACCATGGAAAACCTGGTAGCACTGGACGGCCATTTCGTCCTATTGTGGGACTCCTCAGAAGTGCGCATCCACGATCCCACCCCCTGCGAAATTTGAACCCAGGACCTATCAGCCTTAACCACTAGAAAATGGTGGGCGGTGGTGCAGTTTCGTGGATTGGTTGAAGTTAGACACTAACACCGTTCGATGCAGGCCAGTCCAGTGGTCTAATGGTTAGGCGCTCGCTCACGAGACTGATAGGTCCTGGGTTCGAGTTTCGCGAGGCGGGATCGTGGATGCACATTGCTGAGGACAAAATGGCCGTCCAGTGCTTCCAGGTTTTTCATGGTGGTCTAGCTTCAATTGACTCATAATCTCAACTATTAAAATTACTATGATATCCACAAAACCCCTTCTGATAATAAGATTAAATTGTTTAGAAATGTGTGGTTCGTAAGCTGTTTTGAGAGGACACTTTTCCCCTTAAGATGATTGAAGTAATATGGGGCAACAGTTAAGGACCAGTTATTTTTAGTAAGGAAAAGATCAATAAAATCTTGTAAATATATCGTATACAGAAAAGTATTCTGAAACATTGGTATTAGTAGAATACCAAAAGTCATTCAGTCAGGTACAACGTAGGACCAGGCACATGTATGCATCAGTCCAAGTTGCCATATCTCATTAACACAACAGGATGGACACCGGATTCATAGTAGTTTAAGAGAAGACAGATAGTGTATACCCCGACGCCATTGTGATCGATTCTGGGACATGTCACACACACACTCTCCAACCATTGGTTACGATAGTCACGCGGACCCCAACCAAGTAGTCTGCATCTACCAACATGGCTCAGACTAGAAGTTAGTGACTTCAAGCACTGATGCCACGTTTTGGTTTGGCCACCCCTAACTTTCTTCCAACCATCTCCAACACCGGTTAGTGTTGCACGTCGTGGTAATCGGTGTTCAGGCATATGTAACACGTGACCCAACCATCTCAGTCGATGAAGATTCACAACCTCATCAACTGATTTACCATCACTTCCTAATACCCTGCGTCTAACCTCACTATTACTTACCCGGTGATCCCAACAGACGCCAGCAATATTTCTGAGGCATCCGTTGTCAAATACTAGTAGCTTACGAGTGTCTTCTACTCTTAAAGGCCATGTTTCGCTGCCGTAAATTAAAACAGAATACCAAAAGGTTAGAAATAATTGATTATCGAATGATCAAACACTAATGATAAGTAAGAAGTCTAGTCATTTATTCGTAAAATTATGAGACTAGAAAAGAATATAACATAATTTGATAATGTTCAGAATCTTTTCAACTCTCATAATAAGTTTTGTGCATAATGGTCATCTGAAATGATAATGCAGCCAAATATATTATCCATTTCTTCCCATTACTCTCTAATAAAACTTCATAATTAATACGACGTTACCCGCAAATATTTTCTAGCCTACAAACATTTCAATGTATATAAAAAAACATCATTCTTCTATATTATGTGTGTTTGGGATTTCTTCTTAACTAAAATGATCATAGATTTGAAACGTTTCTCTGGTGAACGTTTTCGTTCGAAAATGTCGGTTATGGTTGATTATCCTTTAAGAAATTTAGATCTCATCGGATTTGCTACTTCAAGTTGTAAGTTATTTTATTATATTTTATGTATGTTTTGTGGTATTTTTTTTTCATAATGTCCACCAGCTATAGCCGACGTAAAACTTGATACAAAGATGTAATTTCATTCCGATTTGAGAAGTAGGTAGATAATAACAATATATAATTCAATGAAAAGTCGAAGGATGACAAACAGTCAGTAACTATAATGATTAATACTATATCTTCCTTTGATTGTCCCTATTCTTTATTTAAACTTTCTATGTTAACCAATGTTGCTTATCAAAGTGCAGTAAACGATCAAGTATAATGTTTATTTATTAATTATTTATTTTAATACATAGATATAGGTACAAGAAGGCACCAAATACATATGCGCGACACAAATCTCATTTGATATGTGTGAGGGCTGTGATACTACCCGGGTGCACAAACCGAAGCAGGTGGTTTTCTTAGGGGGACTTACCCGGAGCCTTCGACCTGAAGGTCTGATCCACAAGGCAGTGGAGCATCGTAAGGAGATGCAGTCCCATGGTAGCCGGTGACCAACGATTGGTTCATACGTCATTTGTTCCTTCAGGACCCTGGAGCATATGTGCACCTTTGGTTTGGAATCAGGGTTTTCCAAGTCCTCTAGGTGGACACTCCATGTCCACCAACCAGGTTGGAGAGCCGTACATTCTCTTCTCGTCCTCTCAATTTTGTAACAAACACCCCCACTACGAGAAGACAGTGAGTAGGACTTCCCTGGCAGAGTCTATATACACGTGGCCATGTGAGATCATTTCGAGAGGGAGATCGGACTCTCCCCACTCTCGGCCGTCCCAGGGCATTTGGGGGCTTGTGATTGATATATGATAATAATTTGTATTACATTTTGTAAGATTTGTATAATAAATATTTTTTCTGAACTTAGAAAACAGATTTTTAAACGTTATTCAATTAGAATTACGAAAGGCTCACCGACAAAACTTTGCTAAAGTTTATTCAAAGAGTACCCAGTTATATTATTGATTAGGTATTTGAACTGAAAACAGCTATATATTTTTTAGTGTAGAGATTGATAAAATGCAGTCTCGTAAACTCCGTGGGCCATAATAAATAGATGTTAGAAATACATTTTTCCTTTTCTAAGTATAGAATGTCGCTTCACCAACACCTTGCTCTAATTCCTAATCTAACCGTAAGAATTATGGTAATCAACCATGTTGGGCATTTCACTCCTTTTGGGGTTTTTGTCATGTCATACAGGCTGATAAGGTCTTGACGTAGATACAAAACTTGCTCAGCTTTTCGAAGCTTGCCCTATTCGTAGCGCACTCGAGACATTTGTCTGCCAATGAAAGATTGAGGACACTGTGCATCAGTGTCTGTGAGGTAAAGGTCTTAATAGTCCAAGTTTTTGCATAGTTTGAGAGTGTTTAACTGAAAGTATCTTTAGAACTGGTTCATATCTGTTTTGTTTAAAATACCCAAAATATTCAACCACATAATGGAAATTTGCTCATCTGTATCGAACATTATAGTTGTAAATATTGAAATAATTTTATTGGTTATAAATAGATATTTTTCTGATTAACTATTACATCGCAACAATTTTCAGCTAACCTATTTATAGTGATAATTCTTATGAACAGAAACTATACTTGCTTAATTTATCTAAGATCGGCAATTATTTTTATTTGTCATTATTACTCTACACATAGTTCCTGTGATTATTTCATTTTTCATTACCTGTACATACTAGTATAGTATCACATATATGGTAATAATAATAGCAATAATAATAATAATAATAAAAGAAGAAGAAGCAGTGACCAGTTGAGTTCAACCAGGTCTGTTGTGAGATAGTAACTCACTGGAGACAATCGTGCATTGATTGAAGTTAGACATTATCACCGTTGGATGCCGGCCTAGTGGTCTAATGGTTAAGCGCTCGCGCGCGAGGCTGATAGGTCCTGGGTTCGAGTCTCGCGAGGCGGGATTGTGGATGAGCACTGCTGATGAGTCCCACAATAAGACGAAACGGCCGTTCAGTGCTCTCAGATTTCCCATAGTGGTCTAGCTTCAATTGACTCATGATCTCAACTATTAAAATTTCTAGAATCCCCACAAACCCCCTTCTGATATTAATAATAATATTAATAATGATAATAATATCGTTATGATCGTTATATAATTGATCATAATATTAGTTTCAAGTTTATTTGTCAATTTCTCGTTTTTGAGCATATACTGTCCTAATCAATTTATGTAATAATATTTTTATTGAGTCCATTTCAAAGTGCTCATCCACTTTCGAGGAGTTCCCATACTGGGACGAAACGGCCGTTCAGTGCCCACAGTTTTTCAATGGTGGTCTATTATTGATCTATTCATGATGTCAATCTAAACTCAACAATCTCCACAACCCTATACTGGTGAATTTTTAATGTAGAGTTGTATATTATTTGTTTGTACCATTAGTGATTTATAAACGTACTTCGATTAAAATGAAAGTAATTTGAATAGTTATAGTTTGAAAATTTGCTCTCATTCTGACTCGGAACATTTTATCAAGTAACGAAGAGAAGTTCATTGTTTCATTGAAGAATGAAGGTAATTCAGCGAAGAAAATTTTCTTTTCGATCATTTCATTTACATATGTTGTACAATCATCTTTACAGTTAATTTCCTATTCAAAAATTGTAGTACATAGTAAAATAGAATAGGGTTGAATGATTATGAAGAAAAAATTTGAAGTGGTATGTTGTCATGAATTGTTTATAAAAATTAGATATTGAAAGGAATTTATGTAATAATTGGTTGATGACAAGTGTTACTGTGACGATAATCGTTCACTTGATAGCTATTATGGGCGATGCATATCTATCATTTTATTTGCTCATATGAAGCATGTTATATTGGCCGCACAAAGCGAGCTCTCTAGACTTCTAAAGGATTACAGAAGTCAATCAAAAGCTCAGTCTTAGAAAATCTAGTTGATTCTGGCCACCTTACTTCACCAGAAACCTTATTCAAAATCATACATACAGTCAGAAGAGTCGGCTTAAAAAGAATGCAAATGAAAAACTTATGTACATCAGAGGCTATTGCTATCCACCACTTTAAAACTCACCTTTGCATACATAAACAGTATATTCACTCTCTCATTCTTACATTTTCTCAACCTTCTTTTCTATCTACCATAATTTACATGTTTGTTTTTTTCGAATTATCATTTCTACTCCTTTTCAATTATTTTCACACCTATTAATTATCCATTAGTACAACCTTAATGGCTATCAAGTGGACGATTATCGTCACAGTAACACTTCTCATCAACCAATTATTACATAACTTCCTTTCAATATCTAATTTTCATAAACAATTCATGACAACATACCACTTTAAATTTTTTCTCCATAATCATTCAACCCTATTCTATTTTACTATGGACTACTATTTTTGAATAGGAAATTAACTATAAAGACGATTGTACAACATATTTAAATGAAATGATAGAAAAGAACATTTTCTTCTCTGAATCACTTTCTTTATCAAGTCTCCTGCATATAAACACTTACGGAACTAAACCCGATAACATTCAATTTGTTTTCAGAAATCACATGATATATTTCAACAATGGAGTCGGAATACTATAAGTTATATTTTCAACTTAAATCTTGTTTCTGATGTAGTTTACTTCACATTTAGGACTTATGGTGAAGAACATCAGCAACAAAGTTAATTACAAATAAACTTATCATTATTTTTTTAGCAAGATGAGTGGCTTTAATCTATCAAGTGTATCATATTTTTCATTGATTTTATTTATCCTATCAATATTTAGAGCGATTTAATATGTAACATCTAATCAAGTAAGTGATCAACTGGCAGATAAATAAAGGCTAACTTCAGGAACCCCTAGACACAGGATTTGTAATAGTTATCACTCATCTAGAGAGCGGTTCTGCAGTCTTATGGAAATCGATGTTCCCTGTTAGATTCAATTCTGAAACACCTAGTTTCATAGTGTGTGATGTGACCGTTGTGTTACATAGGTCGTAACTGATTTGTAAGCCTTAATTATTTACACTGGATGATAATAAGTTGTAACTAGTATTATATTTGTAGGTAATACTCATCATAGATTGCTCATATTTAGTGTAATTAGAAACTAGGATAGCTGTTTTAACCTAGCGCTTAGCTTCTCAGTAGTGTGCGTCCAATACCCCACTGGCGATTAATCCCAAGACATTGAGGTCTTGTGGAAAGCGCATAGCCGTTAGAGCTACTGGGTTGGGGTCCAGTGGTACTATTCGAAACTTAGTCAGTTTGGTATGAAGCTATAACGTTATGCAAAGCGGTTGTGGATAAATGTTTCACTCCGACATCTTTCAACTTCAGTAGTTTTGATTTCTCACTAGAACTTGTGTTACACCTTGAAATAAGTCATTAGTGAGCTGGTATTTTAAATGCGATACATCTGTTACGAATACCATGACCAAATTATATCAACCTCCATAAAACGCCTTCAAATAAACAATGTGATATTTGTTCAGTCCTTAGTGCTGGTCAAATTTTTGTCAATTTTATTGCAATCTGGGTGTTAGCTTAAGTAACTTGACATGGGATCGTTTGGTGCTAATTACTGGAGACAATCAATAAGGTGAATAATGTTTCCACCAAACTTGCAATTACATCTTGCTGGCAAATATCAGTGAGCACAAAAAAATTATCCCTAGGACCTAATGATAACCTCAAATTCCACCTAAGAACAAGAAAAAGTATGTGCACTCGATATCGACTCTAATCGTGTTATTGAAGCTTGATAATCAGTAATGACCAGTTAAAAATGACATCGGCTTCTGTTATTAGTCAGGAAAGTTGAGCAGATGCATATTTATTTCATGATCTACATTGTTGATGACTAAGTATTTGAAGTCAACTAGAAACATTTATTGTACGGTGTGTTTAATTTCAAATTTCTTTCTGTTGTCTTTCTGTGATTATTTCGGCTAGTTTGGAGGTAAATGGTAAGGCGTATCTCTTTGTATTATGGACTAATTATTACTGTGATAGAAAACGACTTAATCAGAAATCATAATTTAAAGCCGTTGTTTGATAAAGTAGTAACGTCTGTATATATGAAAATTATATTTGAAATGATCTCAGCGATTGAAATTTAAATAATTTCAACGTTTCGGCCAACTGACTTGTCTGGACTTCTTCAGGGTAATAATCGAAATCAAAATCATAAAAAAAATATATATAGCTTTTTAACAATCAAAACTATACTCGGCGCCCGATTTCTGTCAAACTATTCGTTCTAATCTTGACGAATATTCGTACAAAATAACTTCTGTACTTCAGATTTTGATTAATACTGCTACGTGCTCTGAATAGTTTCTTTGGATTATTTGTTCTTCTACTCAACCACTCAGGATAAATTATTTAGTGATCGAACAACAGTCAGTGTCCGTAGGTATGACATGTGCTTTGCACGTTGTAAGTGCTGTGTAATTACTGGTGGTGGCTTGAGTGATGAGATCAATTCACGTATAGTAAAAGCAGAGAGGCTTACGTTAATCTGGTCCATTTTGGGCGCATATGTGGTGTTAGTCTGGCTGTAAAAGGTCGGATCTACAACACATCAGTGAAACCAGTTTTGCTCTATGCTTGTGAAGCCTGGCCTCTCCGAGTTGAGGATGTTAGACGACTCTCTGTGTTTGATCATTGTTGTCTCCGAAGGATTGCTGACATCCAGTGGCAACAGGATGTTAGTAATGCAGAGATTCGGCAACGTGTGTTAGGGCACGGCGAAGATACTTCATTTAGTGTCACCATCTTAGAAGACCGACTTCGGTGGCTTGGGTATGTTACACGAATGTTGTCCCAGAGAATTCCACGTCGTGTATTATTTGCCGATAGTGGGACCTGTTGAGAAAAGTGGTGATGTGGCCAGTATATGACATTGTGTTGTGATGTGAAGGAAAGCTGTGTAGGACTGGCTACTATTGATCCTTCGTATTTACCACCGATCTATTTGCTGTCAGGAAAAGCTCACCCCTTTTATATTATAAATCTATTCAACCGTAAAATAGTGCACAGTAATAGCTTATTTTTATTGATTTATTTTTCGAAATTTAGGCACTCAGAAATCAGCCCAATATAAATTATACGCAGTTTCAAATCACAGTGGAAGTGTTTATACCGGACACTACACTGCATCTTGTTTAAATCCTTATACAGGTGATTGGCACTCATTTAATGACAGTCAGTAAGTTTCGTTTAATGAATGATAATTATAATTTACAAATTTAACTCAGCAACTGACTGATGCAACATTTGAGGTTTGTTCTTCTCAACACTGGATCGAATTAAGGACCATCACTTCTTGTAACTGGCAAATGCTTTCTGAGTATTGAGTAATGATTCAATAGTTCACAAAATAAAGCGATAATAATTAGATGTTGTTGTTACGTGTAACTGTATTACTCTTGATATGCTTCATTAAACATGTTACGGCTTTTCAATAGAGCTACAAAAAAATCAATCTCAAAACATTTACAGAATTTGTTCACAATACAATAGCTTGATGGTCTAATGATTACTGTGAGATCATATGGTATTTTGTTTTGGTTAAAAGTGTGCTTCACTTTGTGATCTCAATAAGAATGAAATTGCTATACCATTACACCAGGGCTTTCAGTCATCCTTAAACTGTCTATAGCGAAAACTGAACTTACTTTTTGTCAATTTAAGCAACAATAACAGTAAGAAAAAAGAATAAACCTAACTACAATCTAAGCATTTTATTACATTCAGTGATTGAACTTAATTGACAGGATATCCTGAACATAGATTTCATGCTAACTAACACTTGTCAACTAAGTGTACTGATAAACTTTAGAATACTAGTTGATTCAAACTCTCACTACTGAATTTCAATTTTGAGAGATATTACAACTGAACTTTTAGAGACTTGAATAACCTTCTGATTACCCTTCATGAAGATCAATTACAAATAAAAATAATTCTATGAAATCTATTAATACCGTCTAAATTACTAAGACTAGTCACAACTAATTATATAAAAGAATGGATATGCACTGATGAGGAGTCTCACAATAGGACGAAACAACCATCCAGTGCTTTCGGTCATTTTCAATGAAAAAGGCATAATAGTTATTATTCTCATATTGAATTATTTGATTAGATGAATTAATTAAATATTTAAGCATCGTTTTTTTCTTCTCTTTTCATATTTCTTAATTTTGTAATAGTGTACATGCAATCTCAGAGAACTCAGTTGTTTCTGCTGAAGGTTATGTACTTTTCTATACACTTATTCAATGAATTATTTATTCGCTAAATTGGTTTTCTTTTTTCTCTTTTTTCTCTTTTTGTTTGTTCTTCTTTATTTTTTATTCATTTTTGATTTGTGTATGATGAAGTTTTGAAATTGAAGAATTTTTATTTCAACTAATAGTAATAAAACTTATTTCATATATAGAGATATACACTTGAATGTAGATTGTATTATAGTGCCTAATGTAATTGTTTTCAAGTTTTCAATTGATCTCTTATTACATATAGCCATTTAGTGATTAGTATTATTATCTTAATGTGGTTATTTTCTGATTGTTATTGTGCATAATAATAAGACTCAATTTAATATGAATATTTGAGTTCACTATTGTTTGGGCTTTCATGAATGGAAAACAGCTATACATATATATTTATGTATAAAGAGAGAATGAATCAAATGAAGTAATGATTAATGATATGTAATTGTAAACTAATTAAATTAATTGGGACCTTAGTGGTATATATACATATATATATATATAACTTCCTCTTTCTAAGTGATTAATATACCAGTATATTGTAAATTGTTGTGTATTATTGTTCCTATTTAAGCATCCATGGACCATGTACAATACTGATATATGTATATATATATCATTGTACTATCTTTTTAATATAATGTGATTCACTACTACTCTATTGCTACTCTACACTTACTAACACTAATACAACTGCTTAATTTTTCGAATTAAGGCTGTGATGTTTATTATATTTTCATTGTAAAAAAAGAAAAGAAAAGAAAAGAACAATCTATACCACCTTTTTATTACTAAATAGATTAGATTACAACTAATAATTGTATTCTATATGAATACTATATATGACAAACAAACAGATAAAGATCATATTAACCTTTACCTTTAAACAAGAGAGATATTCATATTTCTTTTTAAGGATTCGCGTAAAAACTGCTTCTGTATTATTATTATTATTATTATTATGATTTAATAAACAATAATAATAACAGTAATAGCTCAATTCTTGAATGAATTTACTTCTCCTTTTCACACTGTATGTTTTCAACATTCAATTGATTGTACCATCTATTCTTGTTCAGAGAAAAGATAGTGCATGGAATTACAGTATTACATAATAAAACATTACAGATTTTCAAGTGTATACATTCATCTATATATATATGTAATAAATAAATGTAATTTATTATTACTTATATATTTTTAAGTGAATAAATGATTTATTTTTTGTTCATAAATTCATCAATTGTTATATCTTCTGCATTGTGTCCCTAATCATGTATAACGTGATGATACCGCCGCCAATTAGAGAACAATGATTTATCGATCGGACCAATGACGCGTAAAACCTTTACGAGCAGTCTCGAGTCCTTATTAGGACTGCCTCCACCATATCAATCATGTATTTCAAACATACTGGGTTTATATACAAAACCAAACAGACCACATCGTACCATAAAATAGAAAATAACATTTGTAGAAAATTTAGCCAAATGTGACTGTGAATGAGGGAGATAGTAATTGATAGACAGAGCATAATTCAAGAATTGTAAATGGTATAATAATAGTTCTGAAGTCAAAATAAGGCTCACAATAAGAGGAACACGAATGTGAATAGTTTAGTTACATAACAATTATACGATAAAAATATACGTATAGTATTGGTCCATAAATGGATCCCAAAAGTTACTATTAATTATTCTCATCGGGATATAACATTACTTATTTGTTATTTTATCATTGTAAAGAAGTTCTTGTTACAGATAATGTTATTATGAAGTTGAGTGATCAACGAAACTAATTGTAATCTACTAGTATTTGACCACAGACGCCTTAAAAATATTGCTGGCGTCTTCTGGGATCATCGGGTAATTAATAGTGAGGTTAGACGCAGAGTATTAGGGAGTGATGGTAAATCAGTTGATGAGGTTGTGAATCTTCATCGATTAAGATGGTTGGGTCACGTGTTACGTATGCCTGAACACCGATTACTACGGCGTGCAATGCTATCCGGTGTTGGAGATGGTTGGAAGAAAGTTAGGGGCGGCCAAACCAAGACGTGACATCAGTGCTTAAAGTCACCAACTTCTGCTTCGAGCCAGAATCGATCACAATGGCGTCGGTGTATACACTCTCTGTCTTCCCTTAAACCGTGAGATTAAAATCACCATATCTTTCTTTCTACGAACTAATTCTTTCTTCGTGTACTATATCCTTATTGCAATCTTTCTTTCATACATTACCACTTCTGAATTAACTACTTTTATGAATCCGGTGTTCATCTTGTTGTGTTAATGAGGTATGGCAACTTGGACCGATGCATATATGTGCCTAGTTCTACGTTGTAGCTGACTAACTGATTGTAAATATATGTTGATTCTAATACTTCAGTACTGGAAATAGATTATAATTATGTGAACTCTTTAGATACGTGTTGATATTCTTATCAAGAATCGAATCCGTTACTAATAAATTCAGATGACGCGTACTATAGATTAACGCAATGAGTTATAATTATCAGATTATATATATATATACTTGTAAGGGGTCATGTTTTCCCTTTGTTAATATTCACAAATGTATTTTACCTCTGTTTGCCCACCTTCACCAATTGATAGTGCAGTGCTAGCGCTAACGTGAGTTCAGATTATTTAGATTTTTCGTCAAGAGAAATCACTTTTATGTAATAGGGATAACAGTGGTAACATTTTTCTATTTCATATTTCCATAATGACTTTTACAGTTGTCTGATTGGTTATTGTCACTTTTAGCTTGTAATTTTTGTTACGTTTCAACGTCTACGCCATTTTATAAAATGTACGAAGTTTTTACATTTTCATTTCGAATTTGTTAAGTATCAAGTCCTTTTTGTTTAAGTCTTCCTGTCATCTTCTTGGGTTATGGGTAATTGTCATCTGCTCACTAGTAACTGAATTCAAGAGATACTCCTGGAGTTCTAGTGAGAAGCCGTTACCAGTGCAGTTCAACCAGGTCTGTTGTGAGATATCAACTCACTGAAGACAATAGTGTACAGTGGCGCAACTTCGTGGATTGGTTGAAATTAGATATTAACACCACTAGATGCCGGCTCAGTGGTCTAGTTGGTTAAGCGGCTGGCGCGAGACTGATAGGTCGTGGGTTCGGATCCCGTGGGGTGCGGGGTCGTGGGTGCACGCTGCTGAGGAGTCCCGTACTTGCACGAAACGGCCGTCCAGTGCTCCCAGGTTTTCCATGGTGGTCTAGCTTCGATTGGCTGATGATTTCAACTATTGAAATTTCTAGAATCCCCACAAAACCCATTCTGATAAAAATGGTAAACGTTCGCATCTGTTACGACAATATACCTCGAAATTTTGTTATCTGCAAATTAGAAAGGTCATTTAATGAAAGTCAGAATGATTTGGAGTAAATTGTTCAGTCACAATCAGTAGAATAGTCATTTAGCAAAAATGAAAATGCCAAAATTTGTGTGAATAAAATGCATAGTAGGAGGATTTCATCTTGTTAATTGAGGTAATAATGATAATAGTGATAGTAATAATATTGTTGTGTGAATATAATATGTAATAAGAGGGGTGTTATCAAGGTAATTACGATAAACGAATTGGGAATGATGGATGTGAAGTTCAAGATGGAGGTAATCAAAATATAATAATAATGAGGAAAAAAGGAAGGGAGTAAGAGGTTTATAATATTCGGTTTAGATATCCGGTGATCCAGTCTTAGGCCAAGGTAAACATAGAGGCTGGATATACCTTTTCTGGATACATAAGTTTGGCTTTCTATAGTTGATTCAGATGGCTTCAGCTATGTAGAGTAACCGTAATCTAGCTTCTTGAGGTAGATATTTTGGAACTTGATATAAAATAGTGAAAGCTTCCTCTATTTTGATATTATGTTCACTATCTACCAAGTGAGAAATGATAGTGCTATTAATCGATTTAGTGACTTTTTCCCAACCATGCTGGTACATGTTCACGAACACTCAAGAATAAAGCCTTCTTTGTAAAATATCATAATTATGAACTTATAACTGTAGAGCTTGATGATGAAGTTATTGTTCGCTCAAATATTCTTCATTTTTGAATATTCTATGCGGATTTTTAAGCTGCTATAAAGAAGTGAATGGGAATAACAGATGGGAATTATCAAAACGTCACAATTTCCCGTGTAGTAATAGTAATAATAATAATAATAATAAGTAACCTTTTTAATTGAAATTCCATTGTCTTTGTATGCACGATAAGTTATTCTTACGAAACTAGTTTTTTTTTCTAGTTTGTTGAAATGAACCATAATGTGTCTCACTTACATACGCCTGTTACTCCTCATGAAGGAGCATAGGCAGCCCACCAGCACTCTCCATCCAACTTTGTCCTGGGCAATCCTTTCCAGTTCATCCTAGTTGTTATTCATTCTTTGTTTGTAAGTGTTTATAATTAAAATATTCATTGCTGCTTACGAAATAGATGCAAAAACTATCTGACTATTTATCTATATCATACTAAAAAAAAGAGACTTACATGAATTGGTAATTCACTTAGAGTATTTGAAATGGATTTTTTGTTTTACACTGTATCTACTGATGACAGTTACATTAGTGTAGATTTCACAATTTACAATAATGTCACAGTTGTTAACATTGTAGATGATAGTTGTTTTGTGAGGGTTATTTTGGTACAAAAACAACATAAATTTTGTAACAATTGTTCAACTTAACAACAATTTGAAAGTCTTAACATTTGGTTACTAGTAGTCATCAAAGTTTTTTTCTCAATCATTTTATTTATAGAATAATCATTAGGTAGAAAACATAAACCTTGCACTATATTGTAAAAGGACACTTGAGTAAACTATCAATGAATGGAAGAACATACTCAAAATATATGTAGTGTTTACATTGTGTGTTTCTATTAATAGGAGTGTTATGTTAAGAGAAAATCTGGTTAAGTAATATTACTCAAAGAGTAATTAAAGAAATTACAATTTGTTGACAAGTTTTTTATAAGCATAACATTGGGATATGACTGCAAAGCATTTTAGAATTGTTCTGATTGACCTGTACAATTAATCGAGATTATTTAATTATAAGTGAAGTTTCAATATACTGGTGAGGTATTAACTATGGGGATTAATGAGGTTACATGAATGGGCTGTTTGAGTGTACTCAGGCAGTTATTATCAACGTAGAACTTTGTACGTACGTACATCAGTTCGAGTTGCCATACCACATTAGCGCAGAGATGCAGTTGTCGATTCAAATCCCGTAGTGGTAGAGACGGTAAAAGTATAAGCAGTAATCGGAAAGATTAGTGTTTGAAGATGTTATTCAAGGAGTATAATCCAGTGAAATAAATTTGGAAAGAGAAAAAAAGGAGACAAGGAAGATTCAGGAGATTAGAATTTGGGAGAACACAACGAGTGAATACACCTGCGCCATTGCAAACGATTTTGAGCCATCTCATTCAAGGTCTCTAACCATCGGTTGCTATCATCTCGCGGATCCCAACCAGGTAGTCTACACATACCAACATGGCTCAGTCCACTTGTTGGTGACTTCATTGATTTGTGCCATAATTTGGTCTGGCCGCCCCTAGCTGTCTTTCAACCTACTCCTACACCAAAAAACATTGCACGTCGGTGCAATCGGTGTTTGGGCATACATAACACGTATCCCAGCCATCTCAACTGATGAAGTTTCACTACTTCATCAATTGATTTTCCATCCTTTTATTTATTTATTTGAACACGTCCTTACCTAGTACCCGTTTTCTAACAACTGCATTAGTTACTCGGTGGTCCCAGGGTATACGATCAATGCTTCGAAGACACCTATGATCGAATACTAATAACCTACGAATATACTCTATTCTTACCGGCCATGTTTCACAGCCATAAAGTAGTTTGAGTGTACTAGTTAAAGTTATAGAAAGAAATTAAAGGCTTTT